AAAGAGTGGGACAGACAAATGAACAAAGCACCGGGTGACTTCTGCAGCAGCTGTGTCCTCACCTTTGTTACACTGACGCCTGTTTCTGCAGACGCCGTCGGCGTGGACAGAGATGACCAGCGCACAAGCCAGGAGAAGGAAAGCAGACGACATGATGGCGATCTCTCTGATGCTCTCAGGGACACCTTGGTTTCCTGTCGGCTCCGAACGGCTTTATATAGTCAGGAGGAAGTCATGTGATACCTGTCTCTGCTGCCAGAATTTAGAATCCATCCCAGAACCACTGAAGTACAAGAAGATCGTTAGAGATAGAATGGGTGTTGCTAAATACTGACGTGTACAGTTTGCGCTGTCTGGAGCAACTACTGCAGATACCAGCACAGATATGAACACACGATAAGGGAGGCATGTTGTATCACATTAGAAATTAAAATTGTATGATAGTGAAAACGAGTAACCATCTATCTCATCTAGATTTATCACAGTATACTATTACAGAATTAAGCGTATCTTTAGATCTGGTGTTTTGTTTGTCTAAAGAGATACTATGATAACATTGTTGTTTTTGTTGGTGCTCCACGTTGGCTTAGGGTGCATCTTTAGGCACAAAATACATAAAAGGATTATTAATTCACTTTAGACATCATAGACAGACTGATGACATACCGATTGTATAGTAAGTGTTGTATTACAAAAGTAGCGATGGGGCGTAGATATCACAACAAACTTTGTGTCTATGCACTCAGACCTTGGGGGAAGTTTCATTGAGAGATTCTGTCTACCTGTGTCTGTTTAAATGTTACCTTTAGACAGTTAATTGTTTTAAAAGAAGACGAGTATTTAATTTGTGGTAATACCCTCTTATAGGAGCTCTCTGAAAGAGTAAAGGAAACGTTAATTTGACATAATTATTTGACGAAAGGAGTTATGATATTATTAATATTGTGTTCACACATTTATTATTGCAGTTGAAACTTTCCAAGACCCATTGTCGATGGGGAAAGTGATCGTCGAAGACACTTGTACGTTTGTGACAGTGTCGTAGTTTGAAAAAGAAAAGGAAATGAGAAATGGGAATTGGGTGGTGGTTTTTTTTGTGTACAGGGGATTGTCTTGAACAGGTGGCTATTAATGCAGGTTAGACCGCATCATGCCCACGTGTTCAGTCAGATGAGTCGGTGCATCTCGCCCTGTCAGATGCCAGTTTGGACAGGAAATGTACAGATGCCACACCCCACTCAACACCGGAGCTTATTTAACAGGTAGAACTTGCAATTTTACGTCCATGTCCGATTAGATCAGAGACAGACATTTCAAGTCTTGAATACTCCCCGAAATGTTCACATTCAAAAACGTCCTATTGGGATTCGAACCACTCCAATCCAGACCATAGCCCGAAATGACACCAACTGAGCAAAACGAGAGACCAATAAAAACTGCATGACATTCAGTGGTGTGTATTTGGGGAAGAGGGGTGGGGATACTCTGCAAGTTTTAAATGAGGCAGTCAGATCTTGCCAGCAATATTGTAATGTCCTTGGCCTAAATAGTCCAGATAAGACAATAGTAAAAGTTTTCAGAACATAGCTATAAAGTAATAGATATAGAGGAGTCTGGTGTTTAAGCGAAATGAACTTTTTTAAAAGCACACACACAAAAGAGTACTGTGGAAAGCGCCAGAGTGCATGTGTGTTTTTGTAGGACTGTGTGAGTCCATCTTTTTTGTAGTGGAGGTTGTGAGAAGGAGAGTAAAATTGATGGAATAATTGAGAAGTGAGTGTTGGAGAGGAATCTGAGATAGAGAGGGCACATGTGAAGGTAAATGAAGAGAGAAAATGTGTGAGTGTGTGTGTGTATGTGTGCATGTATGTGTGTGTGTGTGTGTGTGTGTGTGTGTGTGTGTGTGTGTGTGTGTGTGTGTGTGTGTGTGTGTGTGTGTGTGTGTGTGTGTGTGTGTGTGTGTGTGTGTGTGCTAGTGTACGTTTGAGATAGATAGCAAGGTGATCCAAAAAAAGAGTACAACTTTTCAAAAAAATATCATGTACAAAATGTGTCAATCAATGTAGATAGTAATTTGGAACATATTTAATTCATTCAAAAGGAATTTGTTTGACTTAAAATTCACAAGAAAGAAACTTATTTTCTAACACGGAAATGGCTTTTATAAACACCACTTATAAATGCAAAATGCACCAATTTAAAAGATCTTGAAAGGAAAGCCATGAAATGATTGGGTTTTTTTATTCCTGTCCTTTTAGTTTAAAAATCTAATCTTTCCATACTTGTAACCTTTAAACAATATTTCTTTTCTCCTACAGAGTTAAACAAATGTTTTTCAAATTCTGGCCTATATGTCCTCCTTCGGACTTGACACATTTTATCGCGTCGTTCGTAACGTTCAGTGGTGGCCAAACACAAGGATCCACTCAACCATGAGTACTCAAAGTAAAAAGTCAAAGCCACACACACTGTACCTTACAGTATGGAGCTGTTTCTAGAGACAATAGGTTGGAGAGGGGGGGGGAGGTGAGGTTGCCCAAATAGACATCATTTGTTGAGTTGATATAACCTGACAGGTGAATATGGGCTTTGCCAAGGAACCAAATGTTGTAGAGGAAATGTTCACGCTTTTCAAGACGATTGAGGAGTCAAGAACACATTGCTATCCTCTGATAGCTATGTGAACGGGAAAATGGTACAGTCGTAGACGAAGATCTGCCTTAAGAATGCGGGTCGATGAGACGTCGGAAAGTCATTGCTACAATTATTGTTTACGGACAGACATCTCATGGGGCTCACCTTATGAATTCTGCATCCTTGTGAAGTTTAAAGGGGTGTGAACGGTGTGTGTTTGACCTGGGGTGGTCATTTTGTTGGGAATTTTTAGTTCTGATTCTCTACAGGTCCTAAATGATGGACCATTTCCCCCCTTGACATCAAAGAAGGCCTTAAGTTGACATTATTTCCGTACCTTGTGCGCAACTTACGAAATGAGTTGGTGGTGAGGAAATGTCCAATACAAAACTGCTCATTACCAATCTTAACCATGATCTCATCAGGCAAAGGAAACTTGAGAAAATACTATCTGCAAACTTCTGTTAGCCTGTTAGACTATTGTAGTTTGCAATGTGGCTCAATTGATGGGATTTTTAGTGGTAAGCCTAATGCGAACTAGTGCGTCAAGCTACAAAAATGGGGACATAGCTGAAAATGAGTTGTTTTCGGAGAGCAAAACTATTATGTAGATTTATCTAAAGTGAATCTCAATCAAATTCCTTTTGACTTCCCAATGCTGTGTACAAATTTGAAGCGCAAAACCTCTGTGTGGAGGAAAATATTAACAAAAAAGTTGTACAGTTTTTTTTCCCACCCTGTAGATAGATAGATAGATAGATAGATAGATACATAGATAGATAGATAGATAGATAGATAGATAGATAGATAGATAGATAGATAGATA